CTACCTACGTGAGACGGATGAGAAAGGTCTTGGATGATATGCCAAATGTTTCAGTTTATTTTGATAACATTTACGTAATGACATGCACGTGGGGCAAGCATATTCAAACATTGACATCAGTTTTACGTAGGTTACGCTCACATGGCCTCACTGCCAAGCCGAAGAAATGTTTCCTTGGGTTTAACAAAATTAGATATCTCAGATTGATTCTTTCTAATAACTCTTTGCAGCCTCTCCCCAGTAAGATCAAAGCTTTATTAGAGTTTAAATTCCCCAAAACCAAGAAGCTCATGCATAGCTTTCTTGGTTCTGTAAATTTTTATGCACGGTTTATCCCCAACATTACTGATCTTACAGGCATCTTATCCGACTACTTCAAGAAGTCTGTGAAGGAATTTCTTGAACTTGCCAACGAAGCTCGAGAAAAGTTTAATGAACTTAAGAATATCTTCTCAAAAGACCCCATACTTAAGATTCCAGATATTAATATACCATTTTGTTTAAGAACTGATGCTTCCAATACCAGCTTATGTGCAGTGTTTCTACAGTACCATGATGGTACACCCTTTTCTGTATGCTTCCTAAGCCGGAAACTTCTTCCTGCAGAAATGAGATACTCCACCATAGAAAAGGAATATTTGGCCCTTGTGTGGATATCTCCAAACTTAAATTTTATTTACTGGAAAAGGAATTCATTTTAGAGACAGATCACAAACCTATGATATACCTAGAAACTTTTAAGGGAACCAACAGTCGCCTCTTAAGGTGGACATTGGTACTCCAGGCTTTTAAGTTTCATATTGTGTATATCAATGGTTCATCCAATTATTTCTCTGACTGGTTAAGTCATGACAGTCAGTAGAAGATTTTGGTACCTTACGCAACTTTCCAGGTTTAGAACTTTTTCCTCACATATTCTTCTTATACTCCTTGACTATAAGTCTTGGTATGGGGGAGTGTGAGGGAAAAGTTCAACAGATAGGAGTAGAAAGCGAGTATATGGTGACGATAGTTTGATTGCCAATCTGCTTGTTAAAGTAGAGTCAGTGTCTAACTCCCGCTATCCCCCCCCCCTTTTTCTCCACCTGGAAAGGTGACGTGTGGGGTTCCGACCAAATGGATAATCACTTGACTCACACCTCCCAGCACAACTGTAAGTAAAAGCCTCTGCTCCTATTTTAGTGGATATATTGGTTAAAAGATTCACTTTTAACCAATGCTAAAACTTAGTTCATTCTGCCTTAATTCCATGTTTTGCTTTTAAATCCTCACCATTCTTTTAAGTGCCCTACACTTATCATAGAGAGTGATTTCTTAAACAGTGTGTAGCTTTTGTTTCTTTCTAGCTTGGAATGTCAGCGTGGGTCATCTGGCAACCAAAGAAACAGTGTTGAAGATGAACTTCACATGAGTTCTGGGACGTCACTTTTTTTCTACATACCTGAGTGTGGCCAACCCCAGGCAACTACCCCTCATCTTTGCAGTTGTGAAAGACCTGCATTCCTATCATCTTAACGGATTATTCAAGGCTAGAGACTCTGTGACGAACTAGTCGTTGGGTTTTCACTCAACAGCTGTGACCCCCCCTCCCCCCCACATCATCAGCAACGGCTACAATTACTACAAAGCGCGGTGTCAATATCAACCAGACACCCCAGTTTAACTGTACATACTTGAGTTGAATTCAAATGTCATTTTTTCATTTTATTTTTCATTTTTCTTTCATGTATGATAAAAGTTCATATTTAAATGCTTTATATTTTCAATTCTAACAATATTTGTCGGTTATTATTCTTTTTTCTATTTATTAATCTTCCTAAGGAGGAACCAGCCTTGGTAAGACCAACTTAAGATCTTACAGGGCTGAGTAAGCCTTCACAAGGGTAATCGGGGAGAGCTCCAGGTATTACTCTCCCAGTATTCCCCAGTATGTTTTCGTGTTACAAGAGCCTAAAGTTAGTTCAGCGGTTACATGTTCCGTTTCGCGCTGTGTGTTGTTGCATCTTTTGATTCTTTACCTGATGAAACTTATAATGATAGTGCTCTTCTTTTGCGTGTTGGTATACCGTTTCAACATGTATTTGCTCGTTTTCAGCTTCATTATACTGCTGCCTGTATTTATCGGCACAGGTGGTATACAGTTTGCTCTCTATATCTCTCCCCTTCCTTGGCATTATGTATCTCGGATGTTGCATTCATGATCTCTTCTCTGCTGCCACCCATCTTGTTAGGTGATTTTAACGCTTATCATCATCTTTGGGGAGGGTCCCACTGTGATAACCGTGGTGATCAGTTGGAGATTCTTCTCACTTTTCATCCTCTTCATGTTTTAAATACGGGTGCTTCCACCCAATTTGACTCTCGCACTCTTGCATCGATCTTTATCTGTTCCTCCTCAATTGCCCTTGATTACATTTGGTCTCTTCTCCTGGATTTGCACGACAGTGATCACTTTCAAATTATTCTTAGTTCTACTATGTATTCCCGACCCTCTCGTAGCCACCGTTGCCAATTTAGATGAACGAATTGGGACTTTAGTTTTGACTACAGTGTCACGTTCTATTACACAAACATCAGGCAGGCATTCTCAGACATGTGTGCCTTGGTGGTCTCCTGTGTGTGCCCGTGCAGAGCATTTGAAACGCGCTGCATGGGGCCGTTATCAATAAAATCAGACCGCAGATCGTCTTTTGCATTGTAACGTTCCTACTGTTACCTCGACTTTCCCTATGTGTGCCGTTTGTAAGACAGTACAGAACTTGTGTGGAACCTTTTGAAGTTGCCATGGAAATCGGGAACTGTCTTGTCCGTGTCTCCCAAGGGCTTCACCTCTGTCCCTGGTGTCTCGTTTCTAAGTCTGCCAAGGAGCATTTGTCTTTGGATATCTCTTCTAATGGGATGGAGCCGTATAACGTACCTTGTACTCTCTTAGAGCTCGAGTCCACCCTTTCTGCTTGCCGGTTATCGGCAGCTGGGCCTGATGATATTCATTTCCTTGTGCTACAGCATCTGCATTATACAGTCCTTTTGGGTCTTTTCAATCTTATTTGGACAATGGAATTCTGCCATTGTACTACCGTTTTGCAAACCAGGCACTTCGGGACTTAATACCTCTCATGATCGTCCCATTGCTCTGACCAGTGTAGTCTGCAAGGTGATGGAACGATGAAGAGACGTCTTATATGATATTTGGAGATTCACAATAATCTTTCTCCTCGCCAATACGGCTTTTGCAAGGGCTGCTCTACTTTGGACCCCTTGCTCCACTTAGATACGTATGTGTTAAATGTCTTTGCTAATAAACACTCCGTCCTAGAAGTCTTTTTTTTTTGATGTCGGGAAGGCATTTGACATCACTTGGAGGTATAACATCTTAGCGCAATCCCACTCCTTATTCCTCCACAGTAATCTACCGACTTTCCTTGCTGTTTTCTTATCTGAAAGACATTTTCGTGTCTGTGTTGGTACCTCGCTTTTCTCGGACATTGTTCAGGCCGAGGGAGTTCCAGATGGCTGTGTCCTTAGCACAACCTCTTTTTCTCATGGTTATAAATGACCCACCTTCTGCTCTTCCATTGCATATTTGGTAGTGAATTACTTCACTATAGTTTATGCAGGTGCTGACTGTCACCTGGTAGCGACCTCCCTTCAGGATGCGACTGACCGTGTTTCCCATTGGGCCACTTCTCATGGATTTAGATTTTCCAGTGCAAAAAAACTCATTTCATTACCTCATCCACTGATCCTTCATATTCAACTTTGGTTGTACCTTGTGGCTAGCAAAAACAAAGATGTCGTTTTCTGTTGGGTCCCTGGACACGTTGATGTGCACGACAATAAACAGGCAGATGCTGCTGCGTAGACAGCAGTGCATGATCTTCTGGTTATCTATAGAGGTGTTCCATTCAGGGATTATTTTAGTCATCTCTGCCCATCTTCGCGGCCGTTGGCAATAACGAAGATCAGACATGCACCATAACAATTTGTACTTTATTAAACCGATTTTGGGTTAGTGGCCATCTTCTTATAATCGTTGCCGTACTCGGGAGACTGCACTCTCTTGTCTCCACATCGGCCATAGTGGCCATGCCCATGGGTATCTCATGGAATGAAACCCTATTTCTCTCTGAGGTTTGTCGGGTCCCTATTTCGGTTCTTCACTTTCTTGTGGATTGTCCGGTTTGTAGATGAATGGTTCAGAGAACCGACATGTTGATAAATTAGACACATGTGCAACTCTTGGGTATCTTTATTGAGGAAACGTTTCGCCACACAGTGGCTTCATCAGTCCATACATAGGAGAAACTTGAAGAACAGGAGGAGAATGAGGTAATCAGTCCCTCAACCTTGAGTCGATGTGTTCAGTCCATCAATCTTGAGTAGATTGATGGACTGAACACATTGTTCAGGCCGAGGGAGTTCCAGATGGCTGTGTCCTTAGCACAACCTCTTGAGTCCATCAATCTTGAGTAGATTGATGGACTGAACACATCGACTCAAGGTTGAGGGACTGATTACCTCATTCTCCTCCTGTTCTTCAAGTTTCTCCTATGTATGGACTGATGAAGCCACTGTGTGGCGAAACGTTTCCTCAATAAAGATACCCAAGAGTTGCACATGTGTCTAATTTATCAACATTGTCCGGTTTACCGGCGAGCCACAATGAGCTCCGCCTTTGATTTAAATTCACTTTTTGACTTTCAGTCAGCAACTGCTGTACTCTACGAACTTTGACACATAGCCCCTAGCGTCTCTTCCAGCAGTTTTCTCCCCTTACCTCTGATTCCCCTCTCCACCTAGCTGTTTATAACCCCGGCACTATTTTCTGCCCCCACAGTGCTGCATGACCCTTGTGGGTTTAGCGCTTTGATTATATTAATAATAAAATTTATTTATTCATGGTGAGTCGTTCATTACAACTTATCTTGGGTTTAACGATTATTATTATTATTAAGACAACAACAACAACAACAACAACAAATAATAGTAATAATTCTCACCTCCTCGTCGATGACATCCCTGAGATCATCAAAACTCTTGGCTAGAGGAAGATTACATATCTTCCTCCACTTATTGTAGCCAGGCAGACCATGGTCACGGCCACGCTGGATGTTCAGTGCTACCAGATCCATACCAAAACGATTCTTACCAGCGAACAAGTGGTTGGTCAGCTGAAGAGTGCAAATTTTTATATTTTACAGAGGATGGTAAGCAGATATTGGTTAAATGAAATCGTTGTACCATGTTCCTAGTAATAAAGAAGCATTGAAAATATTTGAAGAAAAGAAAATGGAAGCTTTAATGAAGACGCAAATTAAGCAAATTTTATGAGTACACATTATAACTTGTCAAAAAAAAGAATTTGACAGGATGGAATGAGTTGTGAAGCACCCGGTTGGCCAGGGCTTAAGACCTCCTTTTGCTGGAAAATAGTTCTCTTGCCTCTGCTACATACCTAACTTCAAGCTCACTTTCTCCAGATTCTCAAATAAAAACAGTGTCATAATATGTTTTGTGTACGTGAGGCTGTGTGATGCGTGAGAGACGAAGCTTCCGTCCACATAATTATAGAGAAGGGCGGCCATGGTGGCTAAAGCTCTCGGTTCACACGGCGATGTCCGGGTTCGATTCCCGGCGAGGGTAGAAACATTGGGCGTGTTTCTTTACACCAGTTGTCTATGTTCCCCATCAGTAAATGGGTACCTGGGTGTTAGTCGACTGGTGTGGGTCGCATCCTGGGACAAAACTGACCTTATTTGCGGGAAATGCTCAGCATAACAAGCGGCTTTTTATATAGTAGTATGTCACTGATGTCAGCTATGATCTGTATACCTTGTATATGTACTAGCAGAAGTACAGGTATTATTATTATTATTATTATTATTATTATTATTATTATTATTATTATTATTATTATTATTATTATTATTATTGCTAGAGTATTGTGGAGAGCTGTAGAATTAAAAGAAAATATTTCTGATACAAAGTGTAAGCTGTCAAAGCAAAACTTTGACAATTCTCACTTTGGTTCACTTCTTTAAGAGATCCTGAAGAGAAACTGCAGAGGCTGGTGGAGGAAACTGAGAGGGTGTGTAAAACTGGGAAAAACAAAAGTGAAAATATAAATGCCAAATGATGAGAGAAAGAGATGTCTATGCAATGAAAGATTGGATATCAGACAGAAGAAAAGGAATATGGAAGAAGTGAATGTATTCAAATACTTGGAAGTGGGCACGTCGCTAAATTAGTCTACAAGAGATGAGGGAGCATCTATAGAAATAAATTGACTTAAGGAGAAAACAAAGTGAATATACCAGAGTGTATCAACACTTGAATATGGATGTATGACATGGATTTTAAACATCGCAGCAATGCCTGGTGTATTATCCAGAGCGCAGAGACTACTAGAAGATAGTGTGGAGGCTCCCAGAGGAATATTTCAAAGTGTTCAGCAAGGGTTGCTGAGGAAATTTCAGCATTTAGAGAGAATGAAACAGACCAGTATGACCAAAGTGGTGTATAAATCTTGGTGTCATCCCAGAATGTGTTGGAAGGAAGGGGGTAAAAATGGGTTTTTTAGTGTTAAGAGCTTGAGCACCCAGCAGGCTTGTGTTAACGTGTAATTTAGTTCAGTTCAGTTAACGTGAGAATCTCATTGTGGAGCAGATTGCCTTGCTGGCTGCATCTTGACTTGTTGTCACTCTCAAGAGACGGAGAGCAGTACATGCCCAATATAAATGCCTTACATTGTTCATGCCTTACAATGCCTTGCTGTTGGGTTTAGCCCCGATTCTTTTTCCTTTTTCTTTATTCTTTTCCTCTCCCCCATCTATTCTTAATCTATCCCCACTTCCCCCTCGCCCCTACCTTAAGTTTAGAACGTGTAAGTGAAGACAATTGATTATGCCATGGCATGTTACTAGAGTGTAAACAAAGGAGTGTCTATCAAGGGCTTGAAGTGTAACAAGTTAGGACTTAGAGTCCTGGAGATTATGGAAATACAGTGCCTGCACTCTGAGGGAATACAGTGCCTGCACTCTGAGGGAATACAGTGCCTGCACTCTGAGGGAAGGGGGGGGGGAGGATGCTGCAGTTCGAGGGTCGTTTCAACTGTGATGTCTACTCAATTCTGGGAATAAAACTTCTGAATAAGTAACGGTAGAAATGTTTCCTTTGAGTCACCCAACTTGGTAGAAGATGGTCTTTTAGTAGTAGTAGTTTGTAGTAGTAGTAGTAGTAGTAGTAGTAGTAGTAGTAGTAGTAGTAATAGTAGTAGTAGTAGTAGTAGTAGTAGTAATAAATAATAATAATAATAATAATATAATAATAATAATAAAAATAATAATAATAATAATAATAATAATAATAATAATAATAATAATAATAATAATAATCTCCCACTCCCCAGATGCTGTGTAATCCCTACATGCTTCCTCAATGAAACATGTAGGGATTCACTAGGTGTATAAGTTTCCAGACTGAGTGCAAGTGTGGTTACCTCTTGGCTGAAGAAGCGGTCAAACTTCTGGCTGGGCTGGATGGAGAGGCCTCGCAGAAGGGAGTCCAGCCCACCAGGCTGGTACAAAAAGAAGGGAGAGAACTGGTTCTCACTCAACCGCAGGTTCTTCTCCACCAAACCAAACTTGTTGTACGCTCTGCCGACAAACACAAAATGTAAAAACAAGTGCTCTTGATTCTGATGGGCAGATGGTCAGTGAACGTGGTTTCTCTGGTCTAAATTTATTTTTTTGTGTTTCCCATTTCCCAGATTATTTGTAACTCTCATGGGCTTATCACTTCTGTTTTAATATATTTGAAATAATAATATTTGCTTTTATCCAAATTCATCTCCTTTAACACCTATTGATGTACCTATTTACTATCGCCTGATAAGCAGCAATTATAAGATTTGGCCATACGTCTTGTCCCACCCAGAGTGCCACCCACACCCAGGTATTTATTTACTGCTTGGTAGTAAACTTTCAGGCTTATCTCAGGAAGGATCTGACTTTATTCTTGAGAGACGCGAGACAGTTGGCCAAATATCCTAACGCCATCAGATTTTGTTTACCTGTCAGTAAATAGATACCGGTTGTTGTGTGAGGCGTCTTGAGGCAGGACTAAGGATCACAGTGGTAATAAGCCAGACAGCTTGACTTTCTTCAGGGATCCTGCAGTTTTATCTTAGCGGTTGATAAAGAAAAAGTCTTCTATTACTGCTTACCCCGCCTGGAAATTGATTCCCGGTCCTTTCGGTTGTGAGTAATCAGCTCTGTCACTAAACTACATGTACGGAGAACAATGGCAACAAGAGGATACTATAAAAGTATGAGTGAGAGGCACATTGTTGGACTTATGTACAGCTTTTGAAGAACTCTAGTGGGTGAATTACACAGGATAGCCAAAGTAATGTGACTTTTTTTTTTTAGTGGAATATTTCTGAAGTCCTTAACCGGGATGTGTCCCAAAACTACTATTTATCTTCAGGGTATTTGTTTACTGATATGCAATACAGGCAGCAGATATTAAGGAATTCTTCCATATATCTTGCCTCTTGGCAGGATTGACCCCGGACTCTCGATTGTGATGTGAGTGCATCTTACACCAGGCAGTGTGGAGATGTCCGACCCTTTCCTGAGCGTCTGTGACAGATATCCCTAAGTCTCCCCGGGATGTTTGCTTTCAAAAACAGAATCGCTGACTAAAATACATCGTAACATGCTAACTTTTATATTTTACCGTCAAGGTATCTATATCAATGGCCGTAACCCAAATTATAAAATACAACGTGTCCTACAGAGGACAGGATGCTATATGACAAACAACAACCTGATTAACTAAATCCCAGGCGATGGATGACAACTAGAGATTTAATTACTCTGTCATAAGAGAAATGCTAATTACCCTCCTTCCCGCTACTTACTCCATGTTGCCGGAGATGAGAGTATGACCGTATCTGAAGGCGGCAGCAGCGAAGGCATTGATGATGGTGGGGTCGACGTCCTCGCGGTAGCCTGGAGCATAACCATGTTTTCTGGGTACCAGACCAAAGGTTTCCATGAACTTTCGACCTGATGGAGCGTGAGAGATATTCAGAGATGATTACCGATGTTGGTGATGAGTGTGTGGATACTGGGTGTTGTGTGGGTGGTTGGTATAGGTATTGTGTGGGAGGCGAGTGTAGGTGTTGTGTGGGCGGTGAGCGTGGGTGGTGTGTGGATGATGAGTATGGGTGTTGTGTGGGCGTTGTGTGGGCAATGAGTGTGGGTGGTGTGTGGGTGATATGTATGGATCCTGCCTCCATTACATGACTCTTCCGACTATTCCACTTCCTGACAACTCTATGAACAAAGAATTACTTCCTAACATCCCTGTGACTTCTCTGAGTCTTCAACTTCCAAATGTAACTCTTTCTTGCTGTGTCCCATCTCTGGAACATTCTGTCTCTGTCCACCTTGTCAATGTCCCTATCCACCTTCTCTGTGTGTGTGTGTGTGTGTCTGTTACTCTCTAACTGCTTCTTTACCACAGTTAAGGTACAAGCAGATGTCTTCTTGGAGGGGCCCGGCCGAGGTTCTGACAGACGATAACTCAACACCGCCATCAGCCTTGAAATGCTACACCCAGTTCCTCACTGAACGCTCACACACACTAACATTCTCCATTATTTCTTTCGTCTGGTGCTCAGCTTTTTGAAGCCCTATGATTTGAACTATAATTTCAGGTGTTAAAGACTTTTTTTTACCCATAATGTTTAGCCCCAAAACCAGAGGGAACACTGGACGAAAGAGGGGGAGGATGAGAGACAACAGTGCAACACTTTCTCTCACCACAGCAGCCACGTGAACAATGAGGAGTCCCTGTGAAGTGTGGCGGCAGGCCGAGACGTCATGCTTACTGTTGCTACCCAGCAGAATGCACTGACGAGAAAAGACCCCCCCCCTCTGTATGGTAGGCCTTTGATTTTCGTCACGGCATTATGCCGGGGTCTTCACCCGGCATAATGCCTTGACGGGCACTGTCGAGTTGAAGAATCGATCGTGGAAAAAAATCTTCTCTTCAGTGAACTTCTACTTTCCTCATCAATCTCCTATGTGGAAGTCTATCAAAATCCATACTTAAGTCCATAAATACAGTATCATTCAATACCATGAAAAAGTTCATAATCATGGTCTAGCACCTCAAAAACACTAGTGTATAAAGTTAGTAAACTCGTAAGGCAGTAAAACCCCTTTGTCAATCCGTGCTAAGCTGCATTGGTCAATTTATGTCTTTCAAAGTGACTTCAAATAGCCTCGGTTATTACTGATCCCATCAATTTTCCCCACAATGGAGGTTATTGGTTTATAGTTGGAAACTAACGACCTTTATCATGCTTTGTAGACTATTTCATTTGTTACTTTCCACATATTCTACACTATACCAGATTGTTGTGATATGTTGAATAGCTAACAGTCTGTTAAATTCCTCCTTACAATCCTATAACTCTTGAGAACAGTACATCAGCTTGACTTATGCTTTGAAAATTGTCATATTGGGCTTCCTATCTCACTCCTTCATACAAGCTGGGCTTCCTGATTCACTCCTTTACACAGGTTGGGCTTCCTGTCTCACTCCTTCGCACAGGCTGGGCTTCCACTCTCACTACTTCACACAGGTTGGGCTTCCAGTGTCACTCCTTCACACAGGATGGGCTTCCAGTCACACTCCTTCACACAGGATGGGCTTCCAGTCTCACTCCTTCACACAGGATGGGCTTCCAGTCTCATTCCTTCACACAGGATGGGCTTCCAGTCTCACTCCTTCACACAGGATGGGCTTCCAGTCTCATTCCTTCACACAGCATGGGCTTCCAGTCTCACTCCTTCACACAGGTTGAATTTCCTCTCCCCACTACACAGTATGAGTATCCCGTTGATACTCAATCATTCAGATTGAGTATTTAATAATACTCTGTCACTTAGAATGTTATTTATCATACTCACTCACACGGGATGCGTTGCCTTAGAAATTTCCTCACGTTGCATGAGTTTCCCATCATACTTTGTCACACATGATAAGTTTTCTACCATAATCCATCACAGAAGTTGTCTTTCATACATGAAGCAGTGAAACCTTTTTGCCAGAGCTGTGAGACTACGACAACGAGAATTATATCGTCAAAGCGTCCTACATGTACTGAGTAGCAACGTATTGCTCAAAGATTTCCTTCCAGCAGAGCTGTTGCTACTGTCACTGAGGAATTACTCTCGTAGAATGGTCTGCTCCAAGTACAGGATGTAGCGGTGGTGAGGTATTAGGGGAAGCAACAAGGTGAGGTGAGGGAGAAAATTACAATTCTTGGATTACCCTCTGAGGGTTAAAAACTCTGCATACTCTAACCTGCGGACTGTAACAGGTGCCCTAAATAATTTTTTGGCTTCCAACTTCTTCATTTTTATTTGGCTCATAACTCATACAGTATAACTGAGAAAAAAGAAAACTAAGCAAAATAAAATTTGAGTTTTTACTGAGTTTTAAAATTTAACGAAGGAAGACTTTCCTATTTACTAATATGTCACACTCAGCACTATTCCTGTCACGTGTTCTAAGTCATATGAGACTCGGTTATAGAACACGGGAATGCCTTTCTCGTATAGCGCCGAGACCATCCTTAGGTTCTTCTCATGGAACCCAAAACACAACAGTCACCTAAGTTATTTTTTTTATTGCTGGTGCAAGGGACTTGCTTACGTGTGTCAACTTAACGACGAAGTAACTCACCAGGCTAGTAGCCTGGTAGGCCACGCTCTTGCTTCACACCTGAGTGTCCGTGGTTCGATCCCCGGCTAGGATGAAGACACTAGACGTGTTTCTTTACAGCTGATGTCCCGTTTCCCTAACAAGTAGGTACCTGGGTGTTAGTCAACTGGTGTGGGTCGCATCCTGGGGGACAAGATTGAGGACCCCAAAGGAATAAGATAGTAACTCGATGACGCACTGCCTTGGGTTTTCTTGGGGTGATAACCCTCCGTGATTAAAAATCCGAACTAAATATTTTCTTGAGTGTCTGCTTACTATAAGGTGAAGAGGGAATGAAAGTCATGAGGGTGCGAGGTCAGACTCTCTACAAAGTGAAGAGGGAATGAAAGTCATGAGGGTGCGAGGTCAGACTCACTACAAAGTGAAGAGGGAATGAAAGTCATGAGGGTGCGAGGTCAGACTCACTACAAAGTGAAGAGGGAATGAAAGTCATGAGGGTGCGAGGTCAGACTCACTACAAAGTGAAGAGGGAATGAAAGTCATGAGGGTGCGAGGTCAGACTCACTACAAAGTGAAGAGGGAATGAAAGTCATGAGGGTGCGAGGTCAGACTCACTACAAAGTGAAGAGGGAATGAAAGTCATGAGGGTGCGAGGTCAGACTCACTACAAAGTGAAGAGGGAATGAAAGTCATGAGGGTGCGAGGTCAGACTCTCTACAAAGTGAAGAGGGAATGAGAGTCATGAGGGTGCGAGGTCAGACTCACTACAAAGTGAAGAGGGAATGAGAGTCATGAGGGTGCGAGGTCAGACTCACTACAAAGTGAAGAGGGAATGAGAGTCATGAGGGTGCGAGGTCAGACTCACTACAAAGTGAAGAGGGAATGAAAGTCATGAGGGTGCGAGGTCAGACTCACTACAAAGTGAAGAGGGAATGAAAGTCATGAGGGTGCGAGGTCAGACTCACTACAAAGTGAAGAGGGAATGAGAGTCATGAGGGTGCGAGGTCAGACTCTCTACAAAGTGAAGAGGGAATGAGAGTCATGAGGGTGCGAGGTCAGACTTACCAAGGACAATAGGGAGGTACTCATTGTAGGTGATGTGCTGCATCTGAGCGGCAAGGATTCTGCGAGCCTCCTGGAATAAGATCTCGTCGCTCCATCCTGGGTTGAGCTGCTGCAGCTCTTTGGCCAGTCTGTTGTGTTGACGCATCCAGATGGTGTGCATGGCGGCCAGCTCTGGCTGCTCGTTCACTCGGCTGTCACCTGTGACACAATTATTATATTCATGAAGGAGAGAGAGTGTAAAAAAACCTAATCAGTTGATCAAATGAAATTGCTGGTCCAAGAAACAAGAAAAAGGCTTTCAAATAAGCTGATGTTGGGAATAGCTCTTAGCCGACTCATGAAATCGTAATGACATGATTGTAAACAAACCATACCACGGGTGGGGGAGAACCTGCGGTCAGAGAGTCTCAAAACTCCACACCGTCGCGTTAGCGACTGGACCAGCTAGCCCCAATAAGATTCATCCAACTAGGTATATTTCTACACCATAAGAAGGTTAGCATAGGCACCAATGTGTCCACAAATTCCAAAGCCGTCAACATGACTAGCTGGCCCAGTGGCTAACACGTCGGTCTAGAGTTTTGAGACTCTCTGACCGCGGGTTCCATCCCCACCCGTAGTATGGTCTGTTTAGCGCTTAGCCATATATTAAGTTAGGAATCTTTAACCTAACCTCGAGAAACCATGTATAAAAGAGAGCGAAAGAGACTGCAAATTCTGGAGATAATATTCAGCTGGACAGTAAGTTTTGTATCAAGTAGCGTCCTCTGTTGTCTACCAACTTTCACAAGTGAAACTCGGGATAACTTAAGAATACAATACATCACAGGAGAGGGTAAAACCCCAATGGAAATAAGTCACTTTGACTTTTTTCTGGGTTAGGTTAGGTAAGGTTCGTCAGGAAACAGAACAAATGTTTCCTGACGCGGGTCTTAGTCAGATGATGACCCGCCTTTGGAGTTTTTGGTCATCTGACCGAGGCCTTCCGCTGGCTTACCGGTCCACCCTTTTAAAAATTATGGTCATTTATAACCAGTCTGTCTATATACCTTAATAATTTTTTTTTCTGGGTTATCCTACATAATTTACACTATGTATGATAATTGCAGGTATGTGAACCTGTGCCTAAACAAACTTACCCGCTTTGAAGCAGAAATGTGTACCAGATGTGTCTTTACATTCTGTTGGGTTGGGTGGGAGAAGTGTCTTGCCTGCCGTTGTCGCCTTTAACAGTCCACCAGTGAAGCTTCGTAGCTCCTTGGACTCTTCCACGCTGGAGCCATACACATTGCTGTAACACACGCAGCGTTGAGTCATACACATTGCTGTAACACACGCAACGTTGAGTCATACACATTGCTGTAACACACGCAGCGTTGAGTCATACACATTGTTGTAACACACGCAGCGTTGAGTCATACACATTGCTGTAACACACGCAGCGTTGAGTCATACACATTGCTGTAACACGCGCAGCGTTGAGTCATACACATTGCTGTAACACACGCAGCGTTGAGTCATACACATTGTTGTAACACACGCAGCGTTGAGTCATACACATTGCTGTAACACACGCAACGTTGAGTCATACACATTGCTGTAACACACGCAGCGTTGAGTCATACACATTGCTGTAACACACGCAGCGTTGAGTCATACACATTGCTGTAACACACGCAGCGTTGAGTCATACACATTGCTGTAACACACGCAGCGTTGAGTCATACACATTGTTGTAACACACGCAGCGTTGAGTCATACACATTGCTGTAACACACGCAACGTTGAGTCATACACATTGCTGTAACACACGCAGCGTTGAGTCATACACATTGCTGTAACACACGCAGCGTTGAGTCATACACATTGCTGTAACACACGCAGCGTTGAGTCATACACATTGCTGTAACACGCGCAGCGTTGAGTCATACACATTGCTGTAACACACGCAGCGTTGAGTCATACACATTGCTGTAACACACGCAGCGTTGAGTCATACACATTGCTGTAACACACGCAGCGTTGAGTCATACACATTGCTGTAACACACGCAACGTTGAGTCATACACATTGCTGTAACACACGCAGCGTTGAGTCATACACATTGCTGTAACACACGCAGCGTTGAGTCATACACATTGCTGTAACACACGCAGCGTTAAGTCATACACATTGCTGTAACACACGCAGCGTTAAGTCATACACATTGCTGTAACACACGCAGCGTTAAGTCATACACATTGCTGTAACACACGCAGCGTTGAGTCATACACATTGCTGTAACACACGCAGCGTTGAGTCATACACATTGCTGTAACACACGCAGCGTTAAGTCATACACATTGCTGTAACACACGCAACGTTGAGTCATACACATTGCTGTAACACACGCAACGTTGAGTCATGCACATTGCTGTAACACACGCAGCGTTGAGTCATACACATTGCTGTAACACACGCAGCGTTGAGTCATACACATTGCTGTAACACACGCAGCGTTAAGTCATACACATTGCTGTAACACACGCAGCGTTGAGTCATACACATTGCTGTAACACACGCAGCGTTAAGTCATACACATTGCTGTAACACACGCAGCGTTAAGTCATACACATTGCTGTAACACACGCAGCGTTGAGTCATACACATTGCTGTAACACACGCAGCGTTAAGTCATACACATTGCTGTAACACACGCAGCGTTAAGACATACACATTGCTGTAACACACGCAGCGTTAAGTCATACACATTGCTGTAACACACGCAGCGTTGAGTCATACACATTGCTGTAACACACGCAGCGTTGAGTCATACACATTGCTGTAACACACGCAATGTTGAGTCATACACATTGCTGTAACACACGCAACGTTGAGTCATACACATTGCTGTAACACACGCAACGTTGAGTCATACACATTGCTGTAACACACGCAGCGTTGAGTCATACACATTGCTGTAACACACGCAGCGTTGAGTCATACACATTGCTGTAACACACGCAGCGTTGAGTCATACACATTGCTGTAACACACGCAGCGTTGAGTCATACACATTGCTGTAACACACGCAGCGTTGAGTCATACACATTGCTGTAACACACGCAACGTTGAGTCATACACATTGCTGTAACACACGCAGCGTTGAGTCATACACATTGCTGTAACACACGCAGCGTTGAGTCATACACATTGCTGTAACACACGCAGCGTTGAGTCATACACATTGCTGTAACACACGCAGCGTTGAGTCATACACATTGCTGTAACACACGCAGCGTTGATCATACACATTGCTGTAACACACGCAGCGTTGAGTCATACACATTGCTGTAACACACGCAGCGTTGAGTCATACACATTGCTGTAATACAAACATGGACTGGTCATATACACAAAGCTTCAGTACACACAAAGCTTCAGTACACACAAAGCTTCAGTACACACAAAGCTTCAGTACACACAAAGCTTCAGTATACACAAAGCTTCAGTACACACAAAGCTTCAGTACACACAAAGCTTCAGTACACACAAAGCTTCAGTGCACACAAAGCTTCAGTACACACAAAGCTTCAGTATACACAAAGCTTCAGTACACACAAAGCTTCAGTACACACAAAGCTTCAGTACACACAAAGCTTCAGTGCACACAAAGCTTCAGTACACACAGTAACGAATATTGTTCACCATGTTAGCTTTACGCACGAGTCCTGATGATGCTGAGACTATTGAACAGTAAATGTGTTCCGACATGACTGACTCCCATTTTCCAGCCTGTGTATTAAATATCAATATTCTTTACCTTCTGCCTCCCTTAATTACTGTACCTTTAAATTCTTTCTCATCTTAACCATACCACGGGCGGGACTGAACCCGCGGTCAGAGAGTCTCAAAACTCCAGACCGTCGCGTTAGCCACCGCGGGTTCAATCCCGCCCGTGGTATGGTTTGTTTGCAATCGTGTCATTACGATTTCGTGAGTCTTTCTCATCTTGTTAGGTAAAAAGACACACTATTGTGGCAACGTTCCGCTCTCTAGGAGTTTAGTTGAACTTGTGTCCTTTTACCTAATATATTGTAGGTTATTCTTCCATTAATTCAACATTCTCACCTTTGCTCTTCCCTATAACATGACTCTATAATGTACCTAAATAAATCTAAATCTAAACGCCACAGGGGTTTTCTTTTAAATTAAACTCACACCTCACTGCACTTTGAGACACTTCCACCATAATGTGTGGAAGTGTTGGGAAGAACTGTATTATGTAACACTCCAACACCTGACTGTATCTTACAACATTCCCACATTTTACTGGATCTGAAAGCATTTCTACACCTTTCTGCATTTAAAAATATCATTCACCTTACTGTACCTTACAATACTTCCACACCTTACTGTGAAATTAAGACACATGTGCAACATCTGGGTATCTTTATTGTAGACGTTTCGCCATCCAGTGGCTTTATCAATACAAATTCTAGGACATAACTTGAAGACAGTAGAACTATGTACAGAAGATGAGGTAATCAGTCCCTCAACCTAGGAGTAGGTGCGAACAGCACCATAGTCGTGGAGATTCTGAAGCAGAAGAAAGGAGCCTTGAGCTTATATAGTAACGTTACTACATAAGCGCCAGGCTCCTTTCTTCTGCTTTACAATATGTAAAGTAAAAGGACACAAGTGCAACTAATGAAACATTTATTGTGGCAACGTTTCGCTCTCCAGGAGCTTTATCAAGCCATTAGTAATGGCTTGATAAAACTCCTGGAGAGCGAAACGTTGCCACAATAAATGTCTCATTAGTTGCACTTGTGTCCTTTTACTTTACATGTGTCTTAATTTCATCTTGTCGGTATTATATACCATTCTTACACACCTTACTGTATCTTACAATACTTCCACACCTTACTGTATCTTACAATACTTCCACACCTTACTGTATCTTACAATACTTCCACACCTTACTGTATCTTACAATACTTCCACACCTTACTGTATCTTACAATACTTCCACACCTTACTGTATCTTACAATACTTCCACACCTTACTGTATCTTACAATACTTCCACACCTTACTGTATCTTACAATACTTCCACACCTTACTGTATCTTACAATACTTCCACACCTTACTGTATCTTACAATACTTCCACACCTTACTGTATCTTACAATACTTCCACACCTACTGTATCTTACAATACTTCCGCACCTTACTGTATCTTACAATACTTCCACACCTTACTGTATCTTACAATACTTCCACACCTTACTGTATCTTACAATACTTCCACACCTTACTGTATCTTACAATACTTCCACACCTTACTGTATCTTACAATACTTCCACACCTTACTGTATCTTACAATACTTCCACACCTTACTGTATCTTACAATACTTCCGCACCTTACTGTATCTTACAATACTTCCGCACCTTACTGTATCTTACAATACTTCCGCACCTTACTGTATCTTACAATACTTCCACACCTTACTGTATCTTACAATACTTCCACACCTTACTGTATCTTACAATACTTCCACACCTTACTGTATCTTACAATACTTCAACACCTTACTGTATCTTACAATACTTCCACACCTTACTGTATCTTACAATACTTCCACACCTTACTGTATCTTACAATACTTCCACACCTTACTGTATCTTACAATACTTCCACACCTTACTGTATCTTACAATACTTCCACACCTTACTGTATCTTACAATACTTCCACACCTTACTGTATCTTACAATACTTCCACACCTTACTGTATCTTACAATACTTCCACACCTTACTGTATCTTACAATACTTCCACACCTTACTGTATCTTACAATACTTCCACACCTTACTGTATCTTACAATACTTCCACACCTTACTGTATCTTACAATACTTCCACACCTTACTGTATCTTACAATACTTCCACACCTTACTGTATCTTACAATACTTCCACACCTTACTGTATCTTACAATACTTCCACACCTTACTGTATCTTACAATACTTCCACACCTTACTGTATCTTACAATACTTCCACACCTTACTGCATCTTACAATACTTCCACACCTTACTGTATCTTACAATACTTCCACACCTTACTGTATCTTACAATACTTCCACACCTTACTGTATCTTACAATACTTCCACACCTTACTGTATCTTACAATACTTCCACACCTTACTGTATCTTACAATACTTCCACACCTTACTGTATCTTACAATACTTCCTCACATTACTGTATCTTACAATACTTCCACACCTTACTGTATCTTACAATACTTCCTCACCTTACTGTATCTTACAATACTCCCACACCTTACTGTATCTTACAATACTTCCTCACATTACTGTATCTTACAATACTTCCACACCTTACTGTATCTTACAATACTTCCTCACCTTACTGTATCTTACAATACTTCCACACCTTACTGTATCTTACAATACTTCCACACCTTACTGTATCTTACAATACTTCCACACCTTACTGTATCTTACAATACTTCCACACCTTACTGTATCTTACAATACTTCCACACCTTACTGTATCTTACAATACTTCCTCACCTTACTGTATCTTACAATACTTTCCACACCTTACTGTATCTTACAATACTTCCACACCTTACTGTATCTTACAATACTTCCACACCTTACTGTATCTTACAATACTTCCACACCTTACTGTATCTTACAATACTTCCACACCTTACTGTATCTTACAATACTTCCACACCTTACTGTACTTACAATACTTCAACACCTTACTGTATCTTACAATACTTCCACACCTTACTGTATCTTACAATACTTCCACACCTTACTGTATCTTACAATACTTCCACACCTTACTGTATCTTACAATACTTCCACACCTTACTGTATCTTACAATACTTCCACACCTTACTGTATCTTACAATACTTCCACACCTTACTGTATCTTACAATACTTCCACACCTTACTGTATCTTACAATACTCCCACTCCTTACTGTATCTTAAAATTCTCCTACATATTACTGTATCTTAAAACTTTCCTACATATTACTGTATCTTAAAACTTTCCTACACATTACTGTATCTTAAAACTCTCCTACATATTACTGTATCTTAAAACTTTCCTACATATTACTGTATCTTAAAACTTTCCTACACATTACTGTATCTTAAAACTCTCCTACATATTACTGTATCTTAAAACTCTCCTACATATTACTCTGCCTTTAAACTTACCTATGCATTATTTTAAAACAGCTTAATATTTGTAAAGTAAAATACCTCGTTAGTTGTGCATTAACACACATCACTGTTTGGTCTTCAAAATACTTCAGTGTTTGCACCTCACACTTCACTGTGTACACCTATAAACACCGTTCACACAACAGTCTGCCGTTGTTTGCTATTCCTTAGTAAAACAACCACGTAACCAAGTTTTGCTCCACAGTACAAACTACAGTAACAGTACCTGGCATCGATAAAAGATGTGATTTGGTTCATCTGCTCCCGGGGACCAAAGTTACACTTGGGACGAACAGCTGGCATTGATCTTACGAACTCCATACACCGCTGAGTGAACCTGCAAGTACACACAAGACAGTAAAATATATACGCACGTTAAAGGATATAGGAAAGTAAATAGGAGAGTACTGGTTTGGAAACTCAGTAGTCAATGTGTGGAACAATGTAACTATTAGGGTTAGAGAAGGTAAAACCTTTGGTAGCTTCAAACAGAGGTTACATAAATACATGAGTGAGAAGGAGTGGACTTGAGTGGCACTTCCAGATGTGTTAATAGGGTTCCACCAGCCAGGGTGGGTGTCGTTGAGTGCTCACCACACAGTCACATGCCAGTGAGGGTGTGAGTGCTGACCACGGTCCCACCAGCCAGTTTGGGTGTGGGTGAGTGCTGATCACACTACCACCAGCCAGTGTGGGTGTGGGTGAGTGCTGATCACACTACCACCAGCCAGTGTGGGTGTGGGTGAGTGCTGACCACACTACCACTAGCCAGTGTGTGTGTGGGTGAGTGCTGACCACACTACCACCAGCCAGTGTGGGTGGGGGTGAGTGCTGACCACGCTACCACTAGCCAGTGTGTGTGTGGGTGAGTGCTGACCACACTACCACCAGCCAGTGTGGGTGTGGGTGAGTGCTGACCACAATACCACCAGCCAGGTGGGTGTGGGTGAGTGCTGACCACACTACCACCAGCCAGTGTGGGTGTGGGTGAGTGCTGACCACACTACCACTAGCCAGTGTGGGTGTGGGTGAGTGCTGACCACACTACCACCAGCCAGTGTGGGTGTGGGTGAGTGCTGACCACAATACCACCAGCCAGTGTGGGTGTGGGTGAGTGCTGACCACACTACCACCAGCCAGTGTGGGTGTGGGTGAGTGCTGACCACACTACCACTAGCCAGTGTGGGTGTGGGTGAGTGCTGACCACACTACCACCAGCCAGTGTGGGTGTGGGAGAATGCTGACCACGCTACCACCAGCCAGTGTGGGTGTGGGTGAGTGCTGACCACACTACCACCAGCCAGTGTGGGTGTGGGTGAGTGCTGACCACGCTACCACCAGCCAGTGTGGGTGTGGGTGAGTGCTGACCACACTACCACCAGCCAGTGTGGGTGTGGGTGAGTTCTGACCACGCTACCACCAGCCAGTGTGGGTGTGGGTGAGTGCTGACCACACTACCACCGGCCAGTGTGGGTGTGGGTGAGTGCTGACCACGCTACCACCAGCCAGTGTGGGTGTGGGTGAGTGCTGACCACACTACCACAGCCAGTGTGGGTGTGGGTGAGTGCTGACCACGCTACCACCAGCCAGTGTGGGTGTGGGTGAGTGCTGACCACGCTACCACCAGCCAGTGTGGGTGTGGGTGAGTGCTGACCACACTACCACCAGCCAGTGTGGGTGTGGGTGAGTGCTGACCACACTACCACCAGCCAGTGTGGGTGTGGGTGAGTACTGACCACACTACCACCAGTCAGTGTGGGTGTGGGTGAGTGCTGACCACGCTACCAGCCAATGTAGGTGTGGGTGAGTGCTGACCACACTACCGCCAGCCAGTGTGGGTGTGGGTGAGTACTGACCACACTGCCACCAGCCAGTGTGGGTGTGGGTGAGTGCTGACCACACTACCACCAGCCAGTGTGGGTGTGGGTGAGTACTGACCACACTGCCACCAGCCAGTGTGGGTGTGGGTGAGTGCTGACCACACTACCACCAGCCAGTGTGGGTGTGGGTGAGTGCTGACCACACTACCACCAGCCAGTGTGGGTGTGGGTGAGTGCTGACCACACTACCACCAGCCAGTGTGGGTGTGGGTGAGTACTGACCACACTACCACCAGCCATTGTGGGTGTGGGTGAGTGCTGACCACACTACCACCAGCCAGTGTGGGTGTGGGTGAGTGCTGACCCCACTACCACCAGCCAGTGTGGGTGTGGGTGAGTGCTGACCACACTACCACCAGCCAGTGTGGGTGTGGGTGAGTGCTGACCACACTACCACCAGCCAGTGTGGGTGTGGGTGAGTACTGACCACACTACCACCAGCCAGTGTGGGTGTGGGTGAGTGCTGACCACACTACCACCAGCCAGTTTGGGTGTGGGTGAGTGCTGACCACACTACCACCAGCCAGTGTGGGTGTGGGTGAGTGCTGACCACACTACCACCAGCCAATGTGGGTGTGGGTGAGTGCTGACCACACTACCACCAGCCAGTGTGGGTGTGGGTGAGTGCTGACCACACTACAACCAGCCAGTGTGGGTGTGGGTGAGTGCTGACCACACTACCACTAGCCAGTGTGTGTGTGGGTGAGTGCTGACCACACTACCACCAGCCAGTGTGGGTGTGGGTGAGTGCTGACCACGCTACCACCAGCCTGTGTGGGTGTGGGTGAGTGCTGACCACAATACCACCAGCCAGTGTGGGTGTTGGGTGAGTGCTGACCACACTACCACCAGCCAGTGTGGGTGTGGGTGAGTGCTGACCACACTACCACTAGCCAGTGTGGGTGTGGGTGAGTGCTGACCACACTACCACCAGCCAGTGTGGGCGTGGGTGAATGCTGACCACGCTACCACCAGCCAATGTGGGTGTGGGTGAGTGCTGACCACACTACCACCAGCCAGTGTGGGTGTGGGTGAGTGCTGACCACGCTACCACCAGCCAGTGTGGGTGTGGGTGAGTGCTGAGGACTCTACCACCAGCCAGTGTGGGTGTGGGTGAGTTCTGACCAAGCTACCACCAGCCAGTGTGGGTGTGGGTGAGTGCTGACCACACTACCACCAGCCAGTGTGAGTGTGGGTGAGTACTGACCACACTACCACCAGCCAGTGTGGGTGTGGGTGAGTGCTGACCACACTACCACCAGCTAGTGTGGGTGTGGGTGAGTGCTGACCACAGTACCACCAGCCAGTGTGGGTGTGGGTGAGTGCTGACCACACTACCACCAGGCAGTGTGGGTGTGGGTGAGTGCTGACCACACTACCACCAGCCAGTGTGGGTGTGGGTGAGTGCTGACCACACTACCACCAGCCAGTGTGGGTGTGGGTGAGTACTGACCACTCTACCACCAGCCAGTGTGGGTGTGGGTGAGTGCTGACCACACTACCACCAGCCAGTGTGGGTGTGGGTGAGTACTGACCACACTACCACCAGCCAGTGTGGGTGTGGGTGAGTGCTGACCACACTACCACCAGCCAGTGTGGGTGTGGGTGAGTGCTGACCACACTGCCACCAGCCAGTGTGGGTGTGGGTGAGTGCTGACCACACTACCACCAGCCAGTGTGGATGTGGGTGAGTACTGACCACACTACCACCAGCCAGTGTGGGTGTGGGTGAGTGCTGACCACACTACCACCAGCCAGTGTGGGTGTGGGTGAGTACTGACCACACTCCCACCAGGCAGTGTGGGTGTGGGTGAGTGCTGACCACACTACCACCAGCCAGTTTGGGTGTGGGTGAGTGCTGACCACACTACCACCAGCCAGTGTGGGTGTGGGTGAGTGCTGACCACACTACCACCAGCCAGTGTGAGTGTGGGTGAGTACTGACCACACTACCACCAGGCAGTGTGGGTGTGGGTGAGTGCTGACCACACTACCACCAGCCAGTGTGGGTGTGGGTGAGTGCTGAAAACACTACCACCAGCCAGTGTGGGTGTGGGTGAGTGCTGACCACACTACCACCAGCCAGTGTGGGTGTGGGTGAGTGCTGACCACACTACCACCAGCCAGTGTGGGTGTGGGTGAGTACTGACCACACTACCACCAGGCAGTGTGGGTGTGGGTGAGTGCTGACCACACTACCACCAGGCAGTGTGGGTGTGGGTGAGTGCTGACCACACTACCACCAGCCAGTGTGGGTGTGGGTGAGTACTGACCACACTACCACCAGCCAGTGTGGGTGTGTGGGTGAGTGCTGACCACACTACCACCAGCCAGTGTGGGAGTGGGTGAGTGCTGACCACACTACCACCAGCCAGTGTGGGTGTGGGTGAGTGCTGACCACACTACCACCAGCCAGTGTGGGTGTGGGTGAGTGCTGACCACACTACCACCAGCCAGTGTGGGTGTGGGTGAGTACTGACCACACTACCACCAGCCAGTGTGGGTGTGGGTGAGTACTGACCACACTACCACCAGCCAGTGTGGGTGTGGGTGAGTACTGACCACACTACCACCAGCCAGTGTGGGTGTGGGTGAGTGCTGACCACACTACCACCAGCCAGTGTGGGTGTGGGTGAGTACTGACCACACTACCACCAGCCAGTGTGGGTGTGGGTGAGTGCTGACCACACTACCACCAGCCAGTGTGGGTGTGGGTGAGTGCTGACCACACTACCACCAGCCAGTGTGGGTGTGGGTGAGTGCTGACCACACTACCACCAGCCAGTGTGGGTGTGGGTGAGTACTGACCACACTACCACCAGCCAGTGTGGGTGTGGGTGAGTGCTGACCACACTACCACCAGCCAGTGTGTGTGTGGGTGAGTGCTGACCCCACTACCACCAGCCAGTGTGGGTGTGGGTGAGTGCTGACCACCCTACCACCAGCCAGTGTGGGTGTGGGTGAGTGCTGACCACACTACCACCAGCCAGTGTGGGTGTGGGTGAGTGCTGACCCACACTACCACCAGCCAGTGTGGGTGTGGGTGAGTACTGACCACACTACCACCAGCCAGTGTGGGTGTGGGTGAGTACTGACCACACTACCACCAGCCAGTGTGGGTGTGGGTGAGTACTGACCACACTACCACCAGCCAGTGTGGGTGTGGGTGAGTACTGACCACACTACCACCAGCCAGTGTGGGTGTGGGTGAGTACTGACCACACTACCACCAGCCAGTGTGGGTGTGGGTGAGTGCTGACCACACTACCACCAGCCAGTGTGGGTGTGGGTGAGTGCTGACCACACTACCACCAGCCAGTGTGGGTGCGGGTGAGTGCTGACCACACTACCACCAGCCAGTGTGGGTGCGGGTGAGTGCTGACCACACTACCACCAGCCAGTGTGGGTGTGGGTGAGTGCTGACCACACTACCACCAGCCAGTGTGGGTGTGGGTGAGTGCTGACCACACTACCACCAGCCAGTGTGGGTGTGGGTGAGTGCTGACCACACTACCACCAGCCAGTGTGGGTGTGGGTGAGTGCTGACCACACTACCACCAGCCAGTGTGGGTGTGGGTGAGTGCTGACCTCACTACCACCAGCCAGTGTGGGTGTGGGTGAGTGCTGACCACACTACCACCAGCCAGTGTGGGTGTGGGTGAGTGCTGACCACACTACCACCAGCCAGTGTGGGTGTGGGTGAGTGCTGACCACACTACCACCAGCCAGTGTGGGTATGGGTGAGTGCTGACCACACTACCACCAGCCAGTGTGGGTGTGGGTGAGTGCTGACCACACTACCACCAGCCAGTGTGGACTCTGGTCTACATTATAAGCCATAACGTAATCCACTTAAATACTGGCTATACACATTCCTGAAATACAAACACTGGTCATACACATTGCTGTAATATACACAATTACAATACTTACTGGCCGAAGAACTCATCATCATCAGGGATGAAGATTGGCATACAGTCAGGATGTAGCTCCCGGGCCTCCCTCTTCTGCCCTTTCGAGCAGCAGGTGATGTCTGACTTGTCCTTACCTGGTAATCAAGGTCATGTTGCATTAATAGTATTCAAGGTCATGTGCTATTAATATATTTGTTAATCATGGTCATAAGCTGTTAATATCTGGTAATCAAGGTCATGAAGTATTAAAATTATTAATTAATATCTGGTAATTAAGGTCATGAGCTATTAATATCTTGTCATCAAGGTAATAAGCCAATAATATCTTGTAATCAAGGTAATGAGCCATTAATATCTTGTAATCAAAGTCATTAGCCATTAATAACTTCTAATCAAGGTCATGAGCCATTAATATCTTGTAGTCAAAGTCATTAGCCATTAATAATTTCTAATCAAGGTCATGAACCATTAATATCTTGTTATCAAGGTCATGAGCCATTAATATCTTGTAATCAAGGTCATGAACCATTAATATCTTGTTATCAAGGTCATGAGCCATTAATATCTTGTAATCAAGGTCATGTGCCATTAATATCTTGTAATCAAGGTCATGAACCATTAATATTTTGTTATCAAGGTCATGAACGATTAATATCTTGTAATCAAGGTCATGAGTCATTAATATCTTGTAATCAAGGTCATGAACCATTAATATCTTGTTATCAAGGTCATGAACCATTAATATCTTGTAATAAAGGTCATGAGCCATTAATATCTTGTAATCAAGGTCATGAACCATTAATATCTTGTTATCAAGGTTATGAGCCATTAATATCTTGTAATCAAGGTCATGAACCATTAATATCTTGTTATCAAGGTTATGAGCCATTAATATCTTGTAATCAAGGTCATGAACCATTAATATCTTGTAATCAAGGTCATGAACCATTAATATCTTGTTATCAAGGTCATGAGCCATTAATATCTTGTAATCAAGGTCATGAACCATTATATCTTGTAATCAAGGTCATGAACCATTAATATCTTGTTATCAAGGTCATGAGCCATTAATATCTTGTAATCAAGGTCATGAGCCATTAATATCTTGTAATCAAGGTCATGAACCATTAATATCTTGTAATCAAGGTCATGAACCATTAATATCTTGTTATCAAGGTTATGAGCCATTAATATCTTGTAATCAAGGTCATGAACCATTAATATCTTGTTATCAAGGTTATGAGCCATTAATATCTTGTAATCAAGGTCATGAACCATTAATATCTTGTAATCAAGGTCATGAACCATTAATATCTTGTTATCAAGGTCATGAGCCATTAATATCTTGTAATCAAGGTCATGAACCATTAATATCTTGTAATCAAGGTCATGAACCATTAATATCTTGTTATCAAGGTCATGAGCCATTAATATCTTGTAATCAAGGTCATGAGCCATTAATATCTTGTAATCAAGGTCATGAACCATTAATATCTTGTAATCAAGGTCATGAGCCATTAATATCTGGCAGACAGGATCAAGTACCAGTAGTGATGACATTAATATCTGGCAGACAGGATCAAGTACCAGTAGTGATGACATTAATATCTGGCAGACAGGATCAAGTACCAGTAGTGATGACATTAATATCTGGCAGACAGGATCAAGTACCAGTAGTGATGACACACACTATTGTATACCACTCAAAGTATTTTCCTTTTAGAGAAGATTTTCTGATGCCGAGGAAGAGCTCTTGATTCAAGGAAATGGAGCAACTCCCTCCCTCTACTGAACCCTCCAAATGACCACATAACCTTCAGTAACTATTTGATTCACACTGGTCAGTAAATATACCCTTCCATTTCTTGGCCTTGAAGGTGAAATGCTCTTGATCCAAGGAATTTAATAGGCCAGGACAATAAAAGGCAACAGTGGAAAACCTTAGGCTAAATCTTAGAGTCATATAAGAATTCCTGCAGACTGCTGGGGCATTATGACTCACGAAATCGTAATGACACGATTGTAAACAAACCAAGACACGGGTGGAGATTGAACTCGCGGCAAGCGAGTTGTAAAACTCTCGGCCAGCTCATAAGCCACTGCCGCGAGTTCAGTCCAACCCATACCGCTGTTTACTAGAAAAATAACTCTATTGGGCAAATTTCATGCCATTTCCTCGCCCATTAAAACATTACTGCTGGTAACATCGTCACAAAAAACACAGTGTTAGCTGGAAGCTTATAAACACTTCTTGTGGCCAATGTCAGATATTTAAATATTCAAAAATAAATAAATCTTTCAGTAATAAACATAAAAAAAATTGCTGAAAATAAGTACATATTGTTAATTCTTAATGTCACTGAGAACTGTTTATTATCTAAGTTGATTTGTAATTAATGGTTGAAAGTGGCGAGGAATCTGATACATTATCAACGGCAACAGAGCGCTAACCATGAGTCACGTAGCAACACACCACCTACATCTACAACACCTCGTAGCAACACGCCACCTACATCTACAACACCTCGTAGCAACACGCCACCTACATCTACAACACCTCGTAGCAACACACCACCTACATCTACAACACCTCGTAGCAACACACCACCTACATCTACAACACCTCGTAGCAACACACCACCTACATCTACAACACCTCGTAGCAACACATCACCTACATCTACAACACCTCGTAGCAACACACCACCTACATCTACAACACCTCGTAGCAACACACCACCTACATCTACAACACCTCGTAGCAACACATCACCTACATCTACAACACCTCGTAGCAACACATCACCTACATCTAAAACACCTCGTAGCAACACATCACCTACATCTACAACACCTCGTAGCAACGCACCACCTACATCTACAACACCTCGTAGCAACACACCACCTACATCTACAACACCTCGTAGCAACACATCACCTACATCTACAACACCTCGTAGCAACACATCACCTACATCTACAACACCTCGTAGCAACACATCACCTACATCTACAACACCTCGTAGCAACACATCACCTACATCTACAACACCTCGTAGCAACACATCACTCACCATCTACAACACCTCGTAGCAACACATCACCTACATCTGCTACACCTCGTAGCAACACACACCACTTACATCTACAACCACCTCGTAGCAACACATCACCTACATCTACAACACCTCGTAGCAACACATCACCTACATCTACAACACCTCGTAGCAACAGATCACCTATATCTACAACACCTAGTAGCAACACATCACCTACATCTACAACACCTCGTAGCAACACATCACCTACATCTACAACACCTCGTAGCAACACATCACCTACATCTACAACACCTCGTAGCAACACATCACCTACATCTGCAACACCTCGTAGCAACACACCACCTACATCTACAACACCTCGTAGCAACACATCACCTACATCTACAACACCTCGTAGCAACACATCACCTACATCTACAACACCTCGTAGCAACAGATCACCTACATCTACAACACCTCGTAGCAACACATCACCTACATCTACAACACCTCGTAGCAACAGATCACCTACATCTACAACACCTCGTAGCAACACATCACCTACATCTAAAACACCTCGTAGCAACACATCACCTACATCTACAACACCTCGTAGCAACACATCACCTACATCTACAACACCTCGTAGCAACACATCACCTACATCTACAACACCTCGTAGCAACACATCACCTACATCTACAACACCTCGTAGCAACACACCACCTACATCTACAACACCTCGTAGCAACACACCACCTACATCTACAACACCTCGTAGCAACACCACCTACATCTACAACACCTCGTAGCAACACATCACCTACATCTACAACACCTCGTAGCAACACACCACCTACATCTACAACACCTCGTAGCAACACATCACCTACATCTACAACACCTCGTAGCAACGCATCACCTACATCTACAACACCTCGTAGCAACACACCACCTACATCTACAACACCTCGTAGCAACACATCACCTACATCTACAACACCTCGTAGCAACAGATCACCTACATCTACAACACCTCGTAGCAACACATCACCTACATCTACAACACCTCGTAGCAACACATCACCTACATCTACAACACCTCGTAGCAACACATCACCTACATCTACAACACCTCGTAGCAACACATCACCTACATCTACAACACCTCGTAGCAACACACCACCTACATCTACAACACCTCGTAGCAACACACCACCTACATCTACAACACACTCGTAGCAACACATCACCTACATCTACAACACCTCGTAGCACAACACATCACCTACATCTACAACACCTCGTAGCAACACATCACCTACATCTACAACACCTCGTAGCAACACATCACCTACATCTACAACACCTCGTAGCAACACATCACCTACATCTACAACACCTCGTAGCAACACACCACCTACATCTACAACACCTCGTAGCAAAACACACCACCTACATCTACAACACCTCGTAGCGACACATCACCTACATCTACAACACCTCGTTGCAACACATCACCTACATCTAAACACTCGTAGCAACACATCACCTACATCTACAACACCTCGTAGCAACAACCACCTACATCTACAACACCTCGTAGCAACACATCACCTACATCTACAACACCTCGTAGCAACACACCACCTACATCTACAACACCTCGTAGCAACACATCACCTACATCTACAACACCTCGTAGCAACACACCACCTACATCTACAACACCCGTAGCAACACATCACCTACATCTACAACACCTCGTAGCAAACACTCACCTACATCTACAGCACCTCGTAGCAACACACCACCTACATCTACAAACCTCGTAACAACACATCACCTACATCTACAACACCTCGTAGCAACACACCACCTACATCTACAACACCTCGTTTGCAACACACCACACCTACATCTAAAACACCTCGTAGCAAACACACCACCCTACATCTACAACACCATCGTAGCAACACACCACCTACATCTACAACACCTCGTAGCAACACACCACCTACATCTACAACACCTGGTAGCAACACACCACCTACATCTACAACACCTCGTAGCAACACATCACCTACATCTACAACACCTCGTAGCAACACAT